CCCCATCTCCAAGCTCTTGTTTTCTTTGACAGAGGGTTGTAGGAGGCGGTTGCAGCTGATAATGGAGCTCAGGAACCCGTTATTGGTGGGAGAGCCCTCAGGCCACCACAGGCGCCTCCAACACAAGTGACATCGAGCTAGCCATGCCCATCCTGGACAAAAACAACTCTCGTACAGCCCTCAAAGAAATCAACTTTGATACCCTTGCTCTAGATAAACAGAAGCCACAATAAATAATGTATGGAATTCGGCATGACTGGCACCAACATTAGCATCATTTTGGCATCAAGTAAAGATTTTTTCCCCAGGGTTTTCAATTGCATTCAGTTGTATTCTAATTATATATTAATTCACACTATATTCCAGCTTTGATGGCTGGTTTGTTGCTGCTTAGTTTGCATGGCATCTACATTCTGTATTTTACTTGATTTTATTGGCTCTCATTTAAGTCACTGGCTTACAATCTTGGATTCAGATAAATTGCCAATTTGCTGGCATTTGCCCAACTTTAAGGAGCTTTTATTGGCAGCTTCTGCAACTGGATCCGCTCCATAATGCAAACAGGGAGAACAGTTCAACTTTTTAGTCGCATGGCTTATTAAAATACATCTTAGTCGCACTGTATGCTTTCTCTCATAGCTGAGCACACAGCATGGTTTGTTTTCAAAGATGGCAAAACGGCATTCTGGTTATTTTTATTTAAAGCATATGCTCGTCTATATAAAAAAAACACAAATGTTTGAGAAAGAAAGGCAGAATATCAGATTGGCTTTTTTAAAACGCCAAATTCCAGAAATTCAAGTTCTCTTTTTCAATTTGATTTGTATCAGAAAATTCATGTTTGTTTTTTTTACCCACCAAGTAAAGGGAAAAATTTACTCCCAACTAGGAAGTCAAAAGATGTGTGAGAAGAACCATCCTAGGCAGTGGTGGGTTCAAATTTTTTTTACTACCGGTTCTGTGGGCATGGCTTGGTGGGCATTGCAGGGGAAGGATACTGTAAAATCCCCACTCCCTCCCCACTCCAGGGGAAGGTTACTGCAAAATCCCCCTTTCCTTCCAATCAGCTGGGACTCAGGGGGCAGAGAATAGATGGGGGAAGGCCAGTCAGAGTTGGTATTTACTGGTTCTCCCAACTACTCAAAATTTCCGCTACTGGTTCTCCAGAACTGGTCAATACCTGCTGAATACCACCTCTTTTCCTAGGGCAATATTTGCTTGATTCAGCCCACCTCCCAGACCCCGGGGGTGGGACAACAAAGGCATATAAGTCAGTGGTGGGTTTCAAAAATTGTTCGAACCTATTCTGTGGGTGTGGCCTCCTTTGTGGGAGTGGCTTGC